CATACACACATCAGGAGGCTGGTAAACCGATGACAAGCACTGCACAAACTTGCTCTGCAGCTAAAGAAGAACAGAAAGACAGCAGCAAAAACCATGGAGAACATTAGGTTTGAATGTCAGCATCTCCTCAGAAGTTACTTGGAATTGGTGATGTACGCAGCAGCAAGGATTTAGGGAAGTTACTGTGTTACAAGAGGATCCTCTAAGAATGTGATTTTTTTCTAATACAAGAATCCAGAGATCCCACTGCCACCTTTCAGCACTTGGGGATACAGGAAGGTGTTCTATAGCTAATAGGCTGGCCCTCACCACACAACAAACGCACTCACACCGTGACATTAGCATTCTGTGACAAATGAAATTTTGTTTAGAAACTAACCTAATCCATGGCATTTTGTTACAGTGGCCTGACTGAACTTATACAGAAATGGAAGAAAACAAAAAACAGCAAAGAAGTTTAATATTATACTACATACTAATAATATCAAATTTATTTGAGAATGAGTTTAACAGAATAACATGTCATAACAATTTTAAAATACTACAATATTGAGTGCTGTGATCAATTAATTGTTAAAGAATCCAGATATTCATTTTGAGAAAAAATGTTTTGATTTTTTTTTTTAGGATTGATTCTGATTTGACTCCTAAATGTCAGTAATACCAAAGAGGTAATGCATTTTTAAAATACATTTACACACATCTCAGAGTTTAACTTACAAAACACCAGCCTTCTGTAAACATCTGGGATCATGAATAATCAAATAATAATTGTTCATTTGATAGATTCAAGTGAAGAATTATTTCACACACGGTAGGATTTATATTTATATAAGTTACCAAATATATTTATATCATAATATAAGACTTCATTTTGGATTTTTCTAACAGCTTAATATTTCCAATTTAAAAAATGGATGAAATAGTAAGACATCATATGACACTATAAATCTGTATTTCATGGAAGTCATATACCTGCTATCTCATTAATAGAATAAGTTTTAAAATAAAATTTCGTGATTTTTCCTTATGGCAGTATATTGACATTAAAAATGTGAAAACCCATCAGGGGACTCATCCCTGGAGAAAATGAATTTTCCTTTTCCCAGAAACCATCAGTTGGCTCTAATTCTTCTTCTATGTGTGAAGACCATGAGAATTACATACAATAATACCTTGACTTTAGTTTTCCTTAGAGATCCACTGCTGGGTGTGTTAAGGCAAATGGAAATGATGTCAGAATGAGTATTGCTGGATAGACAAATAGCAATTTGGGGATGTTAAAAGTTAAAAGACAAAAAGGAAGTTTAGAGAGTAACAAACACATTCTGTATAATTTTTTGCTAATTTCTTCTGGATATCTAAAAAATTTTCTCATCCTTTTTACCCCTTCTCTTGTCTATGTTGACCCATTCTCCTTCTAGTCCAAGGTGGCACACTGTATACACTGGTGTCATGAAAATGGCAAATTCAAGTTACAGTAAGAAAAAGATGTCCCAGAAATATAATGGTCGACAAGAAACATGAACTGCCTGCCCTCATGGAGCTTCCACTCTACTAGGAAATGATGACATAAAATAGAACAAAACATATAAATGCACAATTAGAATTACATGCTGGGAAGGAAAATACAAACCTTTCTTCAAAGCATCAATACATAACTGATATAATTAGCCTCTGGTCCTCAGCTAGCGACCAGCAATTGTGGCTGGATTTGCATATGTAACTTATTGCTATTTTTCTTGATTTAAGAGTCATTCATTCTTTCAGAAAACTATTATAGCAAAATCCAATTAAGTAAGTTAAAAAATAAACGGTTGTTGAAATGTTCTGGACAGTTACACAGACAAAGACACACATTTTATGCACACACATGTGTGCTCATGCATACAGATACACACATGCAGAGAGAGAGAGAGAGAGAGAGAGAGAGAGAGAAGGAGGAGGAGGAGGAGGAGGAGGAGGAGGAGGAAAATACTAAATTTCTAGGGAAGTTGCTCAATTTAGATTCTAAGTAAAAATAAAATAAATTACCATTATCAGTGATCCTAAAAATAATGCCATTAACAATTTTCAAGTGAAAAAATGTAAAATCAATATCAAACAGTACCCTAAAGACTATTTGGAGTCACACACAGCTAGCAGCACTTAGACTTGCTCTGGGCACTGCATGAGCTCTTTAAAAGAAAGCTATAATTCATTAAAATGGAGTTTATTCTTAATTGTATTTAATTAAAAGTGACACACTTCCATTTAGAAATCATAAAACAAATTTAAATAATTGACGCTAAAGTTTGAAACAGAGTAACCAGCTGAAAAGCCTAAGTATGATGGACCACGAGGCGAATGCATTCGTTTCATTCATCTCCCACCATACAACCTGAGCCCTGATCACGCACCCATCTGTCTTAGCCACTTTTGTCATACCAAGATGGTGAAATATTTTGCAGATTCCAAACCCTGAATGAGCTGGAAGAGGTCAGGGTCCACAACTGCTTGGGAAAGGTCCATCAGAAAGGGACTCCAGCGCTACCTTCTGGAGGAAGAAATCAGGAGGAGGATGAAGAGGCTTATCCAAACGTCTCTCCTGTTCACTTGTGTCTTTACTTGCTTTCTTTAAATGAAATGCATTCATTCCTAACTGGGCCCTTGGAATGTAACAAAAAAAATTTCACACGAAAGAAATCAAAACGTTAATGATGACCAACATTCTTGAATTCACTTTTGCGTCCAGATACAGACACAAAAATGTATGTTTCCAGAGTTTCATTTCAAAGGCTCTCTTCATTCACTCTGCCAGAGGAAAAGTGAAGAAGATGCTTCATAATTACATGGTAATGTAAGGATTTAAGAAACAAGAGTTTACAGTGTGAACCAGTTATTTTTCACGGGTCAGACTTAGCATCTTTTTTTAATGCACAACTAGCGTTTAAGCTGATGGAGAAAGCTACAAAGTGAAGTTTCTAGACAGTATGTTAGAGGAGTGACACAAGGCAGAAATCCACTGACCTAGATTCATGCCACTCTTACCTTTGCTGAATTTCTCCTTATTTGCTGCTGTCTTATTAAGCTCTGCCCTGTGCACTAACTTATTCACATTACCATGTTGATAGGCTGAGTGTGATGTCATGACATAATCACAGTGGTACTCTCTTCTCTAGGATGTAGATTTGGTAAATCAATTCACAGTGAAAGACTGACAAAGTGTATTTTTCATCTTTATATGTCTAAAATAAACAATTATATGATGGCAACCCTGATGTTCAAAATACCAGCCCCCCGACATTTAACATCAAATACACACTGATACCAGTGATCCTTTCAAAAAGAATGAAATAGAAAAATCAAATCTTTTCCTCTGTAGCTTTATATTGGGAAGCAAAATTTGATAAAAAGTGATGAAATGAAAAAAAATGTTACCATACCAACAGAAATATTTGAGACTGACATAGTAAAACTGAAGTGACGTTCAACACTAATTACATCCAATATATACCTGCTGGATGTAAATATGAACTATTCCATATGTTTTGTTATATAATTAGAAAAATATTTTGAGTTACTTTTAAAAGAGGTACTTTTTCAGAGTATAATAGATGAGTGTATATACTCAAAATCTATGTTTATACATTCATACAAATATATGTATACACATATACAAGCATATTTTACTAACAGGAAAGTGAAAGACAATTTCTTACACATGATCCTAACCCTGTGTCCACATACAGAAAAATATGTAGAACATTAGGGACACACTCACTAGAGTTAGCTGTCAATGGGAAGTCAGCCTGAGGCAAAGACTTTAGGAAATACCCCCAAATGACTCGCAAACTCTTTGAGAGAGCTGATGACATTGTCATTGGCACAGTAACTAAGACTCAAAACAAAATGAAGTTGTACTATTGAAAATGGCCAGCGGGCAAAGCTGAGACAGGTGTTCTATTGACTTGCAGAATCCAAACATTTGTTTCTAAAGCTCTATTTTACAACTTTAAACTTCGATGTCATTTCTTACTTAGGGTTTGGCTCATGTTCAGATGCTTTTTTGAAGCAGAAAAGGTTCCATGCTAGATGATACAAACGTAAGAGGGTAGAGTTGTGAGCTCTCATCCGAGTCACGATGTTAACTTTTAGCACATAAGAAAGTGTCATAGAATTCAAGGAAAAGACATATTCCTGCATTTAAGAATAATGACTTAGGATTAGAGACCAAGGGAACATTAACTATTACACAACCGAAAACAAATAAAGGCCATTCTAAACATTTGCCAGGGCTATGAGTCACTTATTTCCTTTTAACGACAATACTAAACACAGTGGAGGTGGATCCGAATAGCTAATTGAACATGCTCCTTCTGGTTTTAAGTCCACATTTTTCAAAGAGTACTCATGCCTGATTTACCAAGTGACACTGGGATATATAGCTGCTATTAACATTCTTAAAGTTAGTATGCATAAAGGAAAGGCAAGCTTGCTTTGCCTCTCTGTCTCTGTCACAGTGATGCCTTTTAGGGCTGCAATGCATCAATGTGCTTCTATGGCCTCTCGCAGGCACTAAGGGAAGAACCCAGAGCACTGCAACCCTGGAGCTGTGCTACGCGGATGCTTGCATCAGGCAGAATGGACAGGGCAGGTGTGCTCATTGAGAGTTGAATATTTGAGGGAGATATAATTACAGTTACTACACTCATCATTTAACTACCATTAAATGATACTGTGGGAACTGACACCACAACCTATAGCTAATTTCAAAATATACTAATTATGTAAGCAACTGACATAAAAAAAATCAGTCTAAAAAGCAATACATGGAGATGGGAGGGCAAAGCAGAAATATTTTGATGGATTCTTTCTTACCTTAAGTTCATAAATATTCATTAGCACACATACCTACCTCCCAGTACCTTTCACCAATGCCAAAGGTCTACATACATTTGCATAACTTAGACACACTGTAATCCACACAGATGATACTAAGAAACAAAATAATGTAGTACCTTTACTTTTACCTATGCATTTGATGAAATGGGTCCATGAAGAAAGGATTTCCAGACAAAGAGAATAAAGAGGAGAAAAACAACAAGAAGAATTATGAATATATGTAAATGCACTGCTCTCAGAAAATTAAACAAGACAAGAAAGCATAAACAATGTTTTGAAGACAAATGGAAAGGCAGTCCGTACATTCTGAGAATTCTGCCTGTTTTTACAGGCAGATACATGCAAGGGATTGGAAGCCCATGCTCATGTTACAAGATTACATAAAAGAAGGATCTCAATGGCCATAGGTAGAAAAGTATCGACTGCATGGAATGTTAACAATCAGCACTCTGGAAGCCAAGAGCCAAAGCTGTCTGCAGGTTCCCAAACTGCCATGCATGGATGAAGAATGGAATCTTGATGTAGCAGATGAGCCTGGGTGTTTCAGACATTAGCTCCTGACTGCTCTTGGTGCTCCTCTACTGTAAACACTCTTCCCACATACACTGATCAGTAAAGCGAAGGTTTCAGCCACAGTTCTTACTCTTATTTGTTTGCAGATGTTATAGTGCAAGGGATGGAGGGAAACAAGTCACAGGAGCAAACCAACATCAAACCAACAAATCAAAGCAGATAAAACCATGGAAAAGTAAGGTGAACAAAAGCTATGTATTTCATTTGCAGCCACATCACTTCCAAGCATCCGCCCATACTTTGCAGCGATGGTTTGAAAGCAGCTACAGAACAAGAACACACTGAAAGCAGAGTGGAAAAGGAGCAGAGCCCATACCTTGGTCGCCCATCATCAGGTGCGCCAGACCTTGAAGGGAAACAAGAGCACAGTCAGCAATAAACAAGGGAGCATGGGAAGGCAGGGTTGTCACGGTGACAAAAATGTTCAGTGACAGACATCTTGCTTCCTATGAGACATGTCTGTATCACAGAGGCAAATCGAAAACATTCTTTCAACCCTTGGTTGGAATGCTTTGGGGCAAAGAGTTATAAAACTGCAATTTAAACATCAGCACATGCTGTGCTGTGCATTCTAAATATTAGTTAGAACAAGCAAAAATATGAGAGCCTGGTGTAAATCCAACCGGTCCCTTAAACAGTGCATCTGCCCTTCTTGCCCTTTGATAACATTTGGAACATTGTCCCTATAGGGCTTGCCATGGTTCCTTGATGAAATTATATTTTATAAACACCCCAAGGAATGTCTTTAACATGGGCTGGGTCTGATCTTTTTCCTCTCTTCAAAAATGAGAAGTTTGATAATTAAATGTGGGTGGGGGTGGGGCAGGCCCTTAGTCACACTGAAATGACAATGCAGAAATGTCCCCTGGTCTGACACACGTGGCAAGTGATTATATCTGCTCAAGTGCAAAACCAAGATAATTAGACATGCAGTTGAAAAGCTTGGATTTATGACACAATCATTTTTCTAAGAAACAATGGGTAAGCTTTAAATAGGTTCAATTAATTATTCACGGGAATCAAAATTATTTATTATTTTAATTAAATGTTGATTTGTGTTCATGTTCCTTTATTTATTTAAGCTACACGCTGCAGACATAATGTCACCAAGAAATTTTCATGAAGATGACTATTTTTCTAAAGAAAACTGTAAATATTCTTGTTTTGATTGGTGCTGAAGCATAGTCTCAATATGTAACCTAGGACAGCCTCATTCATAGCCCTCATGTCTCAGGCTCTCACAGTGCCACCATGCCCAGCCATTGGGATCATCTTAGCAAGCTCTTTTGCCACCTAAAACACTACTTTTTCTGAAAATCATGAGTCATAGGTGCTTAGTCTCAACTCAGAAATAAAGCTACAACTTTTGGGTATATTTTAAGAATTTGATATACAATTAGAGAAATGCAGTATCAAGTTTAAAAATCTGTCTTTTCAATTTCTAGTGCTGCCTCAGATATATCTGAAACTTTGAATTTGGAAACATCGTGCACCAGTTGCTCCAATCTGCTTTTTCAAACTCTAAGTTTATTCTGATATCTTGGTAAGTCAGATACAACTAGAAATTGTCAAATAATCACAACATAATATGGAAATTATTTAACAGTGAAGTATCATGTTTCCGGAACATAGTATTTCTAAAGTGATTTCAAAAAAATAATCAAAAAGGTGAATAAAAATATTTTATATGGTGATTAATTCAATTATTATATGGTGAAGAGGTTCATTTGTTCAGATTTTTCATTTTTCCATTTAATTTCATATATATATATATATATATATATATATATATATATATGAATGTATATATTTCCACCTAATAACATGTTTGTATTTCTAGCACTGTTTTGTAGACTACATCAGAAAATTATCTCTGGTAAGATCTAACTTTTATGGAGTTTAGAAAAGAGACTTGGAAACATGTGGTGGTTTTGACACTGAATCAAAAAGGAAATTAATAAATCCTCCAAAGACTCCTATTCCCCTTGTTTCATTTCTGCCTCTAAAAGGAGTTTGGCTGCATTCTTAAAGTCACACTGTAAACAGAGACATTAAAATTATGATTTAATAACTTTATTATAACATACTAAGGACCTATATTCTGAGTATCTTATCAATGCCTTGCACCAAATGAGTCTGTGATTACAGAGAAGCATTTCTACTAATTAGATTGATTTTAAAGACCCTTAAAGATTCAAAGAGAGGAAAAAAGAATGAACATTTTACAGAAGAGTTTAAAAATGCAAAGGAAAAATTTACAAATTTCAAATTCAATTAAGGGGCACAAGTGTATGTTCACAATATTAAAATTATGAGACAAAAAATCAGAAGTGATATACAAAGCCAACATTTGGGCAAAATGACATATTGTTTCTTTAGACATTTTTATCTGTTTTGCTTGAGTATCAGAAGAGTTCATTAATAATTACTGACTATGAAAAGATCACAAATTTGATGCTGACCTTGCTACTAATCAATGTTGTATTACAGTGAAGTCTTCTTTTCAAAGAGAAACAACCCCTTTGTTACCTCAACTATACTATTCTCACTTCCACTAGTGTAATTTTTCAAGAAATCCTTCATCTGTAGAAATGTAGGGTTTTTTTTATGGAATTACTGCATTTCAAACTGTTGCAGCAAAGTAGATTTATGTTAAAAGCCATCTCCTGACACATACATGTTGACACATTGCCCACAATTGTTAATGCTGTGAGTATATAATGTATATATTATGTATATTATATATGTGCTTGTACTCAGTAGGTAAAGCAAGGTGGATGTGTACAGGCTGGGGGCTACACAGCAAGACCACTTTTTAAAAGATGTGTGGGAAAAGATGAGAAACTTGGCTGTCTATTCTTCAGCTGCACCTAATACTTTTTGTGTTTATCTTTTCAAGATTTGGCTGGTAGCATCATGACTACTTCATTCAAATTCTTTAACAATAAAATGTTGAAATATGCTTATAGGAACCAATGGTAAAAAATATATAACTTTCTCAAAATTCCATGATTGAGATAATCTAAGAAAACCTGAATCAGTCATCCTAGTTTTCACATATACTTATGTTATAAATATACTTACCCATGATCTCAAGGCAGAAATGTGAGCTTTCATTTCCACTGGCAATGACTTGTATTTCAATCTGAATTTATGTTTCTTTCTTATTTTCAGTGTTTTATCTATGATCTTTTATAATTTGAATAATTTGCAACAAACCAAGGAGATTAAAATGACAAAATGGTAAACATGTCCAACAGAAAAGAAACTACTTTGCTCAAAAAAAAGGAAAAAAAAAGAATGGAGACAGGACCATGCACTGTGTCAGAAACTGCAAAAAAACACTTTCTTTTTTTAAATAAAAGAAGTAGCACTGTATCATTTTTCCATACAGAACACTGCATTAATTATTCTAAGGCTCATATGGGCTGCTGAAATGTATCAGGCACTGGAAGTAAGATTGAAGGCATTTTTATCCCTGAGACTAGTGGGGTTGAGGGTGCATTTGTGTTCCATATGCAAAGGGATACACAACTAGAAATCAACGGATGATCAGAACAGTCAACTTACCGTCTATATTCGAGATGTACTCTAGTAATACTGGGAAATAAAAAGCAAAGGATTTGGAAAATAAGGTAGAAAGCACCCACCTTCCACATTGTTGTCTTCTGAAAGCACATGACAGGGAAGGAGAGAAAAGGAAAAACATTCATTAAGCAGCATGCAGACTGGACCTTGCCTTTGCATGTCTTCCTCATGCAAGGCACCAAACACATCATGCAAGTGCTCCATCACTGTCATTCAGGGGGAAAAACAAAGCCACAGGGGAGCGGGTTCCCTCCCATTGCACAGCACTGTCAGGTCCTGAACAAAGGGCGTTTGTTAAGAAGTCTTTCAATGCTCCATGTAAAGTGAGCTGTATTGTTACTACAGGTTGCTGGCAAGGTCTTTCTAGGCAATTTTTTTTAAAGCTTTTTATTTTTACTCTTAGTAATTCTAAAAGGCTCTATTTCTATATATTTATTTGAATCTCTGTAAAAAGAAAGCCCACTGGTAATAGCTGTGAAATTTCACGGAAAGTTACTTTACTTCCGCCAAACATGTTATTTCCATTGTCCCTTGGTTTTGAATGTTTCTAATAACTTCCTTAGAATAATAAATACAACATAGATTTGTGCAACTAGTATCTATAATTTATTTGGTTTATTTACTATAAGGTCCAGTTTTATTATAAATGATGGTTTGCTATAATTTACTAAGATGCTGTTGAAAATATGGTGAATAGAAAAAGTGGCCATTGCAAAGGCAGCACATTAAATCTGGCTTATTGTGGCTAAGCTGAGGCTAACATTTAACAAAAGTTTCCTTGTGTTTCATAAACCTATATGATATTTATATATTTATGTGTACATATATGCATAAACACACAACATATATATCCCATTTAAGTGTACAGGGCTTAAACTGATTAATATTTACTGAGCAATTCTAGACTATTTAAGACATAGGACTTGGCAGATAGGACTGGGAAGGGAACACAGTCATAGGAACTCAGGGAAAAGCAAGGTTTTAATACTTATAACATTTTAGTAGTTAATTATATTGACTGAAGTTCTATTGTCATTCTTATATTTTTATATTTGTTTAGTTAACTTTACATTATTCAGGGATCATTTGAGCAAAAATAGTTTAAAAACTAAAGCAATATGCATGTAAGTAATTGGAGGAAAAAAATTGAGTATAAATGTGCCGTTTATACTTAAAAGTTTAAGTGCTATTTCTCCAGTGGATGAACTAATCAATAAATTTAGAGTCATGATTTTGTTTGAATCATATAACTAGAGACTGAAATACACAGGTATATTAACTCATTCTAATAGTAAGAGGCACCTGATTAGTGGGGACACGATGCTTTTAGGCAATACTTGGTTTGCTAGAGTTTATTTTTTAAAGAAACATTTTTAAAAATTCAAATATTTGGTATGGTTTTTTTCAATTATTTTGGTTTTTAATTTATTAAATAAGTAAACTGAATTCATTACTTATCAATAGGTATTCTGACAAGACATATAAACAAATATTTAAATATGTTTACTGCTTTATATTGGAAATATGCAAATAACTATGTTTATGATATACATTGGTTTGTATCTGCCTCTGGAAACTTATTTCTATTTAAGGTATTTTTTCATTGATTACTGAATATGATCATTAAAATAAAACTTTAAATTCTGAGGAGAATCAATCCCTCTGATATTATTGAATTGCTGGAAGAAAAAGAAGAAAAGGAAAGCACAGAGTAGTGACTTAGGAAAGGATGCTGCGGCAGTAAGGTCAAGGTCATTGGCTCCATCCACAAACAACAGTTCTCTTTCACTGTTAGGAGAGGAAAAGGTCCAAAGGTCGCTCTGTAGATCCTGCTCTGACATTCAGGTTTTCTCCATTCTTACTCAGAGAGAGAATGTGCTTAACTGAGGGGCATCTGGTGTGTAAATTCAGGTTGGGCCCAATGTACAACCAAACCTGACCTGTGTATGCTGAGAAAATTTTTCTCAGAATATGTGGGTTTCCCAAAGAGCTAAGCTATTAGAGTGAAATATAAAAGGATATATCAGTTTCATTTAAAACATGCTGAAGAGAGTTGGCTTCAACCAGACTTGCCTTAAGTTTCTACAATTTTCAAATTTAATAATGGAAATACACACACCCTGAACAAACAAACAGAAAAGAAAAAAATCGCCAGCTTCTCTCTCTTCCTTTCATTCTACACTACATTCTGGTGTCCATTTGCTGACAATGATAGTTAAAACTTGTTGACCTGAGGCTAGCCCATGCATTACTTCACAATGTGGCTGCAACTCTAACTTACGGTATTCGATCCGTCACCAGGCATTTTCCCTGGCTTTCTAGCCTGTTCCTATGTGAAATGGTGGATGCTAAATTAGAAGAAAATACATTTTTTATCTTTCCAACTTCAGTGAGTGTGCAAACAAATGCTATTAGAGTTTTGAGCAGTAACAGGGAGGAGCTGAGTTTCAGCATGTCTTAGTGCACGGGAAGGCAGTTTATTATCAGTTTAATACAAAGTAGAAAGGGACCCACCTGGCCTTACCTGTAGACTTTGTCAAAGGAGGACACATCTCTTACACATAAAAACTGTGGCTTATGAAGTCACAAGAAAACTCACCGAATCAACTAACCTGGCGTCATAGGCACTCACAGAGACTGAATGGACAACCAGGGAGCCTGTATGGGACTGACCTAGGCCCTCTGCATATGTATGACAGTTGTGTAGCTTGGTCTTCTTGGGTGACTACTAACAGTGGGAACAGGGGCTGTCTCTGACTCTTTTGTGCTGGCTTTTGGGACCCTATTCCTCATACTAAGTCGCCTTGCCCAGACTTAATATAAGGCAAGGTACTTAGTCCTTACTACAACTTGATATGCCATGTTTTGGCAATATCCATGGGAGGCCTGCCCTTTTCTGAATAGAAGAAGGAGGACTGGGTGGGGTCATAGGAGAAGGGGAGAGACGAGGAAGGAGGGGAAACTGCAGTCAGGATATAAAAGGAAGGAAGGGAGGAAGGCAGAGAGGAAGAAAGGGAGGGAGGGAGGGAGGGAGGGAGGGAGG